CTTTGGACCTTTTCTTCCTATTTTACATTATCGATTATTCATTCTAATCATTGTTACATTTTAGGTATACAATATAATGACATTCATCATTGGAAATTTGTACCTTTACATAGTCTCTGAGAGACATTTTAACTTCAATCCCTTTTACAGATGAGGAAACTGAGGCCTGAAAAGGGGAATGATTTAATCCTAGGCTAGTGATCTTTCCTCTGCCCTAACTTCACAGGGACCTCCCTCTATCTCTTCCCTGAAGGGGGAATCCCAGGAACAGAAGACAGCTTTGAGTGACTCCAGAGGACAGAAGCCTGGACAAAGGAAGTTTTAAGGGCGACATGGTGGCAGATTTCATTCCTTTAGGTAAGAGCTGCCTAAAAACTGAACAGCGGCCAATGGACGTGGAAAGCTTGCTGTTACTGGGGGTGTGCAAGCGGGAAACTTGACAGACAGTTGGTATGGGTAGGTAGTATCAAGGGCATTTCTACATTAAATCTGACTTTTGAGGTTACTTCATATGCAGAGATCTTCAGAGTTATAGACACTAATTACAATCTGGAGAGGGAGGAGGAGAGGGAGGAAAAGAACAAAGGGAGGGGAATGTTTATCACTTCATTTTGCCACCTGGAACAGGCAACCTTGAAATGAAAATCAGAAAGACAAAAGCAAAAATATGTGATACCAAAGCAATATCTTTGAAGTTGGGACCCCAGGCAGTTTAAAAGCAGCTGTGAAAGTGTCAGATGACCTCAGTCACCTTTATTTCTGTGCTCCACACCCTCACACCAAGGCCTGGAGACCACTGAAGCTCATCACCAGTTCATTCATTTATGAACATGTTCTCCATGTCTGCTTCCCGAGGACTGATATTCTCACTGTCTTCATCATCCCCAGCATCACTAGCTTTGTCATTGTCATCTGTACTATAGTATTTATTGAATCTCTCTCATTTTCTAGGATCTGGCTAAGAACTTTATCTACGTTTTGTCATTTAATCTTCATAGCAACCCTGAAAGGTAGATATTTTTACTTTCAATTATAGAGGAGTAATAATGAGAGTCTGAGTTAGTAGGAATAGGATTTGAACCCAGGTCTGCTGGAGCCTGAGACTGTCTGCCTGGGGAAGGCATATGCATGGTGAAGAAGCTCTATGTCTACACTGCTCACTTAACCATGCTATTGTGTGTGCTATAACTACGTTTGACTCTCACATTGTGTTAATGGCTGCTTGTGACCATGGGTTCCACTTTGGTGGTTCTTCTTGGGTTTGTCTGCAAATCTGGGAGCATAGGACAGCAATGCAAATAAAAAGACAGACTTAGGGCTAGGGATTTAGCTTAGTGGTTCTGCCACCTGCCTCACAAGCGCAAGGTCCCAAGTTCGATCCCCAGTACCAAAAAAAAAAAAAAGACAAACTTGTAGGTGAAGGAAATGCTGTCCCACACCATGGATCACCCACCAGGGTTTAAGGGACTGAGTTTCCTTGTGCCTCCATTGTGAAGTGGCCTCTGATCCTACAAATCTTCCATCAAGCATACAGCGGGGCAGAGAGGGGTTTAAGGCCCTAGTCAGTCAACATGTGCTGAACCTATATGCAGAGAGAAGCCCTGGATGCTACAGATCAGACATAGATTGCATTCGCCCCTGTCCTCTAGATCTTCCAAGGCTGATGGAAGAGATACACAATGCACATGCAGAACAGTGAAGAATAGTGGAGTCTGCTATGGTGAATTCTGGCTGGACTGAGTGCTTCTGTTCAACAGCCCCTTCCTCACAGGTCCCAGGCACTTGTATTCTGTGTAGAAGTGGCCAAAGATGAGGAGGTGGTGGTGTCTCTGAACGCTGGGCTCCAGCTTTGCCTACACTGCATTCTTCTTGCCAGGCACCCTGGTTCGAATCATCCAAACCTCAGTGTTGTCATCCATAAAATGGGAATCATAAAAGCTACCAGCCTGCTACAGTGGGGTAGTAATCACTGTAGTGAGCACTCATTATGCTCAGTAGTTGCAAGTACTTTACATTTGCTCACTGCCCAACCCGATGAAGTAGGTGCCATTAAAATCCCCAGTTTCAAGTTTGAAAAGCTGAAGCACAAAGAAGTTTAGTAACTATTAAGGTACACAGCTGGGACAAGGAAGGTAGTCTGGCCCTACAGCTTATTCTTCTCACCACTGCTCAGGCGCAGGTGCTGAAAGTCACATGCAGGACAGACACAGGCCATCAAAGCCGGAAGACCTTGCCAGTCCTCACGCCAACACCAGGAGATGGGCACAATTCTATTCCCCCCACTTCAGCAACAGGAAAATGGAGCCCCTGCAGGAGTGATTTCTATGGATTTGCACTCAGAGAGCATTTGGCGTTTAGTACCAGAGGGGAAATTTAACTTATTTAACTTTGTCACCTAGGGTCTCCATTTTCAGTATCCTCTAGAAATATTTTTGTAACTGCAGAGGAGGAAGGTGTGCTGTTCTCTCTCCTGTCACACTCCTCTCCTCCCTCCAGTCCCTCTGCAATCTGGCCAGGTCAATCCTGGCTCTGGAGGAAAATAAGACCCGGACTGGACAATGGGAGGAAGCATAGTGGCCACCTAAGATGCCCTTTACTCTTGGATTGAGGTTTTCCGTCTGAGCTTCCAGGAAGCAGAGAGGGACTTTGGGAAACGCCTGAGGAAGAAGATGGCGGGCGGGGTGGGGGTGGGGGTGAGATAGCGAGTCAGCGCTCAAGACAGCAACTTTCCCTCTCCCTGTACTGGTTCCCTCAGTGGCTGCCTGGGTGACGTGACAGCCACAGTCCTGCACGGACTCCGCCAGCAGAGGGCGCCCAGGGCCTTCGCATCCATCAGCTCTGAGACAAGGCAAACCTTACACAGGAAAAGGAGCCACTCGGAAGTTCTAAGCCCAGGCCCACACGGTCACTTGAGAATCCACTCAGCTGAGAAAGGTGACCGAGGACAGGTGTTGGATGAAATTCAGTTGGCCAGAAACCAAAATCTGATTTTCAGATCTCGTGTGTGTGTGTGTGCGCGCGCGCGTGTGTCAGCTGTAGCTTAGTGTTTAGTGTGTGTTAAAAGCTATTAGATAATTAACCTTCTTAGAAAAAAGAATGAGTAATGTTTATTAAGATTTGTTGATTATATGCTTTGACCATCACCTTTGTTCATGGTAGTGGGTCAAGATAGGTACGTGTGTGTCACTTTAGGCTCATAAGAACTCTATGAGACAACTACTATTATTATTCCCATTTTATAGATGAAGAAACAGATTCTCAAGAAATTAAGGAACTTTTTAAACTAGGGCCTACAGTTAGGAAGTGACAGTGGTCAAGACCACATTCTAACCCCTCCAGCTCCGACCTCAGCGCCTGGCATTCAGAAAGCTCAGGTTCAGTGCATGAAGCCAATCCCTGTACCTGGTCACAAGAATAGGCTGAGTCATGGAGCGATGAGACCTGCAGTTGGGCTGTTCACCACCTCTGTAGAGTGTTATTATGCACAAGGATTGATTTAATGTGCATGTCTTTGAATGTGTTGAATAAGTGAGTGTCATATTTCAAATTAGCAACTCGGCCACTGATTGTTTAGGCAAATCTCTCTCAAAATATATTTATATATTTATGAAAACACTTCAGCTTCAGTTGACATTATATGGAAATGATTCATCATCAAATTTTCGACCAAGTAGATCCTGAGTTCTGGGGTCTCTGGAAATAAGAGGTGTCATTCATCCCACAAATACTTAGTGAGGGTCTATCCTGTTTCAGCCACTAATCTGGGCACCAAGTGATACAGCAGTGGAAAATCAGGGGCGGTGCCACCATTTATGAAAACCTAGAGAGAATCTAAATGCCATATTACAATCCACAAGGCCTCTCCCAGTGTAACCCTTGCCTATCCCTGCTGCATCCTCCAGCCCACTGCTCTCCATCTGCACTGACTGTCCTTAAGTTCCCCTGCTGAGCCATACCTCACCCTTCCCAGCCCCACTTATAATCTGCTCTCCTTTAGAAAGCTGTTCTCCTCCCTCTGTATCTGGTCAACTCCTACTCACCGCTCACCACACAGCACTGCATCCATCACTTTTGAGAAAGCTCCCCAGATCACTTACTACACACTACCCTAGATCTTGCTCTCTTCTTCCAAGAAGGACTTCACAGTGTCTAACCTTAGACCTACTCCTGGGTGACCTGCTGATGCCCGTTTCTCCCTGTAGGCTGTCA